TGCTGAAGATGGATGAATGAACATATATGACTGACATATGTTTGTACTGGAGCACACTTTGCAGTACATACATGCATGTTGGGTATCAACTCGATCGATCGAATCGTACGTGCATATATAGCTATAGCATTCTGATCGATTCGTTCGTTCCTCTCTGCATGTACAAGGCAAGAAATTCATGTGAGAAGACGATCGATCAGTGTAGGAGTATATATTTTCAGTCTAACAGTAAGAAATGATGTTGTAAAGCCTCACTGGGGTCATGCTTTTTTTGTTTGTATACTCATACTAGTACTTTATTACTTTGTCACGCCCCGAACTAGCCCCGAGCGGAACTAGCCCGTGACGCTCCAATTTAACCCGTTAATCGATACCAGTCCTAGGAAACAGTGCTGGTATCACAGGGAGACAGAATATCACAGCAACAGAGGTCTCTTTATTATAGAGTGGGAGTACAGTCATGTTGGGCTGCGGACAGATCCCGAGCTCACAACTGCATTACAAAAGGGAAGCGGAAGCCAAGACTTGGACCAAACATCACAGGCGCGACTTGGGAACTAGGCCGAAACCCTAAAACTCATCGTAGCCGACTTGCTCCTGGAAGAACTCCTCGTCAGCGGGATCCGCTTCATCTTCCTCAGCAACTGGGGGGTTATTTATATAGAGCAAGGGTGAGTACGGGAGTACTCAGCAAGCCATGGGAAATAAGTGTTTAATGCAGGCTTCAAGGAAAGGCTGTTGTTTTTGCAATTGATTTTATTTAAACTCTTTTCTGAAACAACTAAGTGAGTGCTTCTCAAACGACACGGATGAGACAGTGCGTCTCGTCCGGTCGGAGTATGTGCAAGGTATCAGTCTTTTGAATTGATCATGGTTGGCACCCAGCCAACGGCTTTTAAACGGCCACCCGGGCCTGGCTGATCCCATCAGCCGCAGATTTTCCAAACATCGAACCCAAACCACATCAGCAAAATTTCATAAGCAGTAGGCAAACAAAACTACGCTAGGAATCACCTCACATCCGCCCATGACCGTGGGTACGGCTGTTCGAACAGTTTAATAACCTCTGCAGAGGGGGTACACTTTACCCACACGACATTACTAACCCGGATCATCCAGCCCATGCAGAACGGCCATGACTAGAGACCTTAAGGCTTTCATGACAAGGTATTTCGAAAGCCGACACAGGTTCACCATATGCCAACGAGAGGGGTCCCAGACCAACACCAGATTAGGTCCCAGACCATACTGTGCCAGGAAACCCGGGGGAAACCGTACACCCGGTACGTTCCCCGGTCCGCGGTTTTGGAAATTCATTTAGTTCGCAAGCACCGACCCAGGTGTCGGGTTTTCCAAGTCTTTTGTAAAACAAGTTTTACCCAAGAAGTTTTTCAGATTTTAAGTTTGAAGGCGACCGTCGATACTCGTGCAGAGTGCACGAGTTCCGAGGCGCAACTGGGTGGTTACAAGGGAACATGGTATAACAATTAACAAAGGAAGGATCAAATGCAACAAACTAGGTAGGTCCGCCAATCTGCCTTGCAGACGGGACAAACAGATTAAGTGCGATCCTATCAATGCATAATATTTTTCAAGCAACATAATTAAATTCAAATATAGGCTCAAGATGTTCAAAGGTGGCTTGCCTTGCTCGAGATCTGGAGCTTGATCCTCGAAATCCGCGCACACCGGGTCTTCGGGCTCCGAGGCTACACGCGAGCGAGACGACTCAACAAACGGCGAAAATAAAGCCCTATTAATGACCTCTAAGCGTGCCATTAGGTAGATCTCGAGATTTGAGGAATTTTGGAAGTTGAACGGAGTCAAACGGATTTATGGTTGGGAAGATATTGAATTTCTAAGATTATTGGATTTTTGGTCTAAAGGAAAAGGATTTAATTAAATCCTTTTTGAAAAAGAAAAGAAAAGAAAAGAAAAGAGGGAGGGAAATTAGACTTTTCCTCGGGCAGCTAGGGCGCGGCCCGAGAGAAAAGGGGCGGTTCGGCCGAGTTAAATGGGGCGGCCGGCCCAAGGCGGCCCAAGCACGCGCGCGCGGGAGGGGAGGAGAGAGAGAGCCGGTGGACGGAGCTCACCTCGCGTGGTCCCGGGTAGGACCCGCTTGTCGGTGACACGGTTCACCGTGCGGAGCGAGCACGCGGCGCACGCGCGCGGGCGGGGGAGGGACGCGGTGCACGCGCGCGGTTCGCGGTGGATGCGGATGCGGCGGGCCCACGCGCAGCCACACGGCTCGCGGTGGAATGCGCGCACGGGGAGGGGCTGACCGGGGTCGGCTCGACCCGGTCTTGGCCGAGCTTGCGCCGACGTGGCGCCTACGTGGCTGCCACGCGGGCTGGCAGGAGGTAGACGACGACGCCGGCCGGAACGGACGGCGGACGACAGCGGCAAGCGGCGGAGCGAACCACGGCGATACAGGCGAAAGCGAGCACACCGGGTGGTTGCACAGGACGAGGGGAGACGAGCCAACGGCTCGGATTCGCCGGAGGGAGTGCGTCGGCGGCGGATTGAGGCGGCGGCAACCGGCGGGGAGGGAAGAGGGAAAAGGTGACGAGGTCACGAGGGGCATCTACGCGGCTACGGGAATCCGTCTCTTGCTCCGGATTAGGAGGAAACGCATCGAGGGAGGCCGGCGACGAGAGGCGCTTCCGAGCTCGGGCGGCGACGGCGGCGAGCATGGGGGCGGTTTGGAACGGAGCGGCGACACAGACGGCAGGCGCGGGCAGGCGCGGCAGAGGCTGACGGCGGCGGCGACCAGGCGGTCGGCCACCATGGCACGCGCGCGGGCAGAGCGGGGGGAGAGAGAGAGAGAGATGGGGAGGGAGGGAGAGATGGGCCGAGAGGAGTTAGGCCCATCGAACCTGAGGGAGGCAAAATAGACTTTTGCGGAGGGATTTGATTTGGGAAGGATTTGGATTCGGGATTGAACTTGACGATAGATCGGAGATTTAGATCCGGAAAGTCACGGAGACTGACAGCAAGCAAAGAAACAATTTTCGCAAATAGGGTTTTTAGAAATTACATTTTCCCGCTAGGCGCCACGACGGAACGGGCGCTACATACTTGTAGGTAGAAATATAATACTCAATTCTTTCCTAAATGTTTAACGACGTTGACTTTTTTAAATCTGTTTGACCGTTCGTCTTATTCAAAAATATTTGTGAATATTATTCAAAAACTTGAGTAATAGTAGTATACTTAACAGTGAATCAAATGATAGGAAAATAATTAATAATTGCTTCTCAAACGGCACGGATGAGACAGTGTGTCTCGTCCGGTCGGAGTATGTGCAATGTATCAGTCTTTGAATTGGTTCAAGGTTGGCACCCGGCCAACGGCTTTCAAACGGCCACCCGGGCCTGGCTGATCCCATCAACCGCAGATTTTTCAAACATCGAACCCATTCCACAACAGTAATTTCACAAGTAGTAGTCAAACAAAACTACGCTAGGAATCACCTCACATCCGCCCATGAACGTGGGCACGGCTGTTCGAACAGTTTAATAACCTCTGCAGAGGGGGTACACTTTACCCACACGACATTACTAACCCGGATCAACCAGCCCGTGCAGAACGGCCACGTCTAGAGACCTTGAGGCTTTCATGACAAGGCATTTCAAAAGCCGACACAGGTTCACCATATGCCAACGAGAGGGGTCCCAGACCGACATCAGTTTAGGTCCCAGACCATACTGTGCCAGGAAGCCCGGGGGTTCTCCCCGGCACCACCCCGTTGAATCCACATGTCTCTTGGCATCATGGCTCCCCCGATTAGCTAATTACTTAGCCAGGGGCGTCCCATTCCACCCATGTGGTCGCACTTGCCTTATGTTCGGATGAAATTCCAAGGAAAACGGTCCTTAAGTGCAAGAGTGGGAAACCGTACTCCCTGTACGTTCCTCGATCCGCGATTTTGGAAATTCATTTAGTTCGCAAGCACCGACCTAGGTGTCGGGTTTTTCCAAGTCTTTTGTAAAACCCCAAGTTTTACCCATCGTTGGATATTTTAAATTTGAGGGGAGGTGTCCCGATGCGCGTGCCCGAAGGCCCGTGCATCGAAGCACAACAGTCGACAAAGGAGGTTTAAGTGTTCAATAATTCAAGGAGGGTAATTACAGCAATTAGGGTTGGGGCCGGCAGGCTATCTCGCAAGCCGCGGCCGATTTACTTGTGTTAATCCTATTCATGCAATATTTGCGGAAAAGAAATACTTAGATTTAAATTATAGGTGCAAGATAATCAAAGGTGAGTTGCCTAGCTCGAGATCTTGAGCTTGATCCTCGAAATCCGCGCACTCCGGATCTTCGGGCTCCGAAGCTACACGCGAACGAGACGACTCAACAAACGGTGAAATTAAAGCCCTATTATTGCCCTCTAAGCGTGCCATTAGATAGATCTCGAGATTTGAGGAATTTTGGAAGTTGAACGGAGTCAAACAGATGTATGGTTGGAAAGATATTGAATTTCTAAGATCATTGGATTTTTGGATTTATTTAAACCCTTTTTGAATTAGCAACGAAAGAGGGAGGGGAAACAGACTTCCCTCAGGCGGCTAGGGCGTGGCCCGAGAGTAGAGGCGCGACTCGGCCGAGCTAATGGGCCGGCCGGCCCGAGAAGGCAGCCCAAAGGCACGCGGGAGGGGAGGAGAGAGGGAGCCGGTGGACCGGGTTCACCTCGCGTGGTCCCGAGTGGGACCCGCTTGTCAGCAGCACGGTTCACCGTGAGCGAGGAGCACGCGACGCGGCGCTAGGGTTTGGAGCGGGGTGCGATGCACGAGCGCGGCTCACGGTGGGTACGGATGCGGCGGGCCCACGCGCAGCCTCACGGCTCGCACTGGACCACGCGCGCGAGCCGGGCGGAGGGGAGCGGCGGACCGGGGTCAGCTTGGCCCGGTCGCGGCCAAGGTGGCGCCGACGTGGCGCCTTCATGGCAGCCACGTGGGCCGGCGAGAGGAAGACGATGACGTCGGCCGGAACGGATGGCGGATGGCGGCGGCGAGCGGCGGGGCGATCTACAGCGATGCAGGCAAGGGCGAGCGCACCGGGAGGTTGCACAGGACGAGGGGAGATGAGCCAACGGCTCGGATTCGCCGGAGGGGCCTCGACGGCGGCGGATTGCGGCGGCGGCAACCGGCGGCGAGAGAAGGGGGAAACGGCGACGGCGCGACGGGAGATCGATTCGGGCGAGCTAGAGCATCTACGCGACTCCGGGAATCCGTTTCTAGCGTCGGATTGGACGGGTCATCGCCAAGGAAGGCCGGCGACGGGCGGCTACTACTGAGCGCGGGCGGCGACGGCGGCGAGCCTACTGAGAGCGGCAGTGTGGCTTGGGGCGGCGCCAACTAGGTACTGGGGTACTACTCAAGCTGCTACTCAAAGCTAAGGGGAAGAGATGGAGCAAGGAGGGAGAACGGAGGGATGCCCTACCGAGACAAGGCGGGGCGCTATGACGAGAGGCCGACGGCACGGGAGTGATCTCTCCGGCCTCGGGCCGAGGAAGAGGAAGAAGACGAGTGCTCGGAGTCCCCTTCACGCGTCCTTCGCACGCACCGGCTCTCCCAGTGCTTTGGCGACGAACGGCGGAGGTGCAAGCAGGGTGGAGCGACGATGGTGCGTTGGAGGCGAAAGGCGAAAAAAAGGGAGTTTGGAATGGGGAAAGGGGCTCGGATTTATAGGGGCGACAATGTCGGTTTGGGAGGGAGGAACCGACATTGGGCGGTCAAGCCAGCAAGCTGGCTCTTCGGCTAGCGGCCAAAACGGTGACAGGGAGGATGACGCCAGCGGGGGAGAAAAAGAAGAAAAGAAAGAGGGAAAGGAGACTTGCCTCTTGCCACTTTGGGAAAAGAAGGAAGGAGAGAGAGGGCGACGAGGCAGTGAGAGGAGGAGCTCTGTCTCCAACCCTTGGAAGCATGCGCGGTGGTGGCGGGGCCGGGTCGTGACGACGGCGATGACGGCGGGGGCGGTTTGGAAGGGCGCGGCTACAGGGCGACAGGCGCGGGCTTAGGCGCGGCAGGCGCTGACGGCGGCGACGACTGGCCGGTCGGCCACCACGGCGCGCGCGCGCGGGAAGCAACGGCGCGGCGATTTGAGCGGCATCGGCGGGAAGCGGTAGCGAGAGCAGAGAGGGAGGGAGAAGAGAAAGAGAGAGCGAGCTCTCTCTCTCTTGCTCTGCGCCCGAGCGGCGCACGTGCCTCACACGTGCGGGCAAGGATGGAGGAGGAGGGAGAGATGGGCTGAGAGGAAATGGGCCGGGGAGAAGAGATCGGCCCACAGACTCGAGGGAGGCAAAATAGACTTTTCGAGAGGATTTGATTTGGGACAGATTTGAGATTAGGGTTTGGATTCGACGATGGATTGGGGATTTGAAATCTGGAATGGCACGGACACTGCACAACAAACAAGGAAACAATTTTTGCATTTAGGATTTTTAAGAGATAGTTTTCCCGCTAGGCGCCACGACGGAACGGGCGCTACAATATAGCGGAATTGAGTTAATTAATATCGTATAATTTTCTTTTACTGTTTTATGTTGCAACAGAATCCAAAGCAACAACAGTATATATATACTGTAACGCTAGCTTTAAGGGCCACGTACTTTTCTTTATTTTCTTTAGAAACATAGTAGTACAAACCAAGCGGTCACAACATTTTATTTTGGTAAATGATGATCGATCAGCAACGTATAGCAAGTACAATAAAGAATCTCCCCCAAAAAAAAAAGGTACAATAGAGAATCGCTATATATATATATTTACTCTTAATATATAAACGAACAAGTACAACATACTACTCCATGATTGTTTGGGTGGAAGGCATCCGAAGCTTATACCAACAGTACTCGATCCCTGGGCCTGGCTGGCTCTACGTTGAGGCCCAACGGAAATTAGTGGACTTGGGCCTGCCTTCCTTGTTCGGCAGGGCACTCATATCTAATACTAGTCTAACATTGCACCTCAGCTTTTTTATGTTTTGTCTAAAATCACAACCCTTACTCCGAAAACCCTAATGGGGCGATCAACCCAACATTCCTTTTTGGGCCAGATTGAGAGCTGTCAGATTTTCTATTTTGGCCCAGCACATGTTGGCATGTAGTATGCTATTTCCCTTTTTTTCTGTTTAGTGGTTCTCTATTTTTCTGGACCAAGCCGAATTCAGGCAAATGGGCCACCCCGTGTGCACCTTTTCTTTTCTCAAATTTATATGTAGATACATATAGATACTACGTATAAAAATAAAGTTTATATGTATAATATAACATTCCTATACGTATAGGATGACAGACCGACTATGCATTAGGCACGCCCCCTTAACGCCAAAATTGGATATCGTACCCCTTCTAGCTTTCAATACCGTACAAACAACCCACCTAAAGGCCTGAACTGGTTGTATGGTTTCCACTCGGTTTTCATACACTTGAACGACATGTTAGATGCCACTAAAGAAAGTTGTGAGCCCCATGTGTTAGTCCGATACATCATTCCTCATCCTCTCTTACTCTCTCCTCCACTTTCTATCCACTTGTCGTATCGGTGTCTATTCATGATTTCCTTCTCATACTCCCTTTTCCTCTCTCATCCTCTTACTCCTTGGGTTACATGTCCTCTAGATCAACGCAGCATAGGAAGGCAAGAGACGGTAGTGAGGCGCATGAGAAGAGATCCAATCGTGGCGCTGGCGCATATATGCACTTCGAGCTTGACCAAGCGACAGGAAAGCTGTCATCTATAGCTGTCCACTTCCGCCTCGTTGAGCTCTGCCACCTAAGATCGAGCTCAAGCTCCGCCTTGCTGAGACCTACATCACCGAGTTCAGTTGTTTCTTCCTTGTAGAGCTTGTACTGCTTAACCTCTGCCTCCTCCGTCACCCCTGCTCGCTCGGGGAGAGATAGGGGAAGGAGAGCAGGAAGGAGGAGGCAAGGGAACATATCTCAAGCTTATGCTCGCCGGCGCTCAGGAGGGTGATGTGGGGGTGGGGGAGAGAGCGCTGCAGCTTACCAGCTCTCGAAAGTGCGAAGCGGGAAGGAGAGATCGAGCTCGTTGACGTTTGGGGACGTGCGTGGGGTGGTTGGGGGAGGGGCAACTAGGGAAAGGGAGCCCGAGATCGGTGGTCGGGGGAGTGTGAGCTTGAGCTCATCTATCGCTGGCGATGATCTCTCATACAGATGATCGGGTGATGGGAGGATAATTGAACAGTATTGAAAGTTTAGAGGGTGTGAACTACCCGATTTCTTGAAGTTTGAGGGCGTATTTTAGAGTAATCGAAAATTAGGGGTGTCAAGTGGACTTATCCCTATTTCTTAATTTTTCCCAAAGACACACTCGGAGCCTCATCTTTTCGCTTATGCTTATACTTATCAGCCAAAAATTAAATTTTCAACCTTAAATTTGGAGTTGATTTTGTGGTTTTTTTATCGAAGTTTATTTTTCAGCCTTTGCTTTTAAATTGCTAAGAACACGTATATAAAAGTTTTATTCACAAATTACTAATTGAGTCTTGTTGCTTGCCATCGGCTGTCATCCATCTAAAGTTGTACACAGTGAATTTCAAATCCTACTGTTGCCAAAAAAAAAAAAGGAATCTACTAGCGCTGCTACTGCTCCATTTAGATGGATGAAACTAGCGGAAAGATGTAGGAAGAAAGAAATATAATGGCAGTGATGTGGCATTATAAGAAGTGCATGCAGTAACCTTTCCGTTTTGTAAAATTGAACCTTTTGACGTACGTTGGGCGCGTCCACTGAACCGGACGGACGACTCATAGATAGATAAACCGAGTCGAGGGGAGGACCGGAGGAGCAACCAAATTAAAGCTGCCTACGTGAGTGTGAGGGGAGTTAGCAGCTTCTTCTTCTTCATTCACCCTGACTTCGCCCGGCCTCCGCCCGCCCACCCACGCGGCCTCAACGCCGCCGCCGCCGCCATGGCTCGACGACGCCGACCACCACCACGACAACGCCTTCCTCCACTGGGTCATCAACGACCACCACCATCCACTCCTTGATCTTGATGACGTCGACCTCGACTACGCTAAGCCTGCACCTTTCTTCTTCGCTGATCGAGGCCTGCACCACCACCACCCAGCTTCTTCGTCTTTCCCAAACCCAAAGCCGACGGCCGACGACAACACTAGTACTGTGGAGCAGCTGGTCCAGGCCGCCAAACTCACCGAGGCCGGCGACGTCTTGGCCGCCCGACACATCTTGGCGCGCCCGGCGATCAACTACCGCCTCCCCGCCTCCGCCGCCCCGCCGCTACTCCGCTCCGCCTTGTATTTCAAGGACGCCCTGCGCCGAGCCCTCATCTCCGACGACGACTCCTCCTCCTCCTCTACACCGCCCCCGCCCCTCCACGAGCCGCACCCGCACGACCTCCTCCTCAAGCTCACCTCCTACAAGTCCTTCTCCGACCTCTCCCCGCTGCTCCACTTCGCCCACTTCACCTGCGTCCAGGCCGTCCTCGACGAGCTCGCACCCTCCGCCTCCTGCATCCACCTCCTCGACTTCGACATCGGTGTCGGCGAGCAGTGGGCCTCCCTCATGCATGACCTCGCCCACCGCCACCCCGGCGTCGCCCTCAAGGTCACCGCCCTCAACGTCACCGCCTCCTCCTCCTCCCATCACCCGCTCCAGCTGCAGCTCATCCACGACACCCTCTCCACCTTCGCCGCCGACCTCTCCGTCCCCTTCCGCTTCGCCGCCTTCAACCTCGACGCCACCGACCTCACCCCCCTTCTTGCCGTTGCCGCCGCCACCGACGCCATTGCCGTCCACCTTCCCGTCGGCTCGGTCCACGCCACCGCAGTGCCGTCCGTGCTTCACCTGGTCAGGCGCCTTGGCGCCAAGCTGGTTGTCTCCGTGGACCGCGGCTGTGACCGCGGCGAGCTGCCGTTCGCGGCGCACCTGCTGCAGGCATTGCGCTCCACCGTGTCCCTGCTGGAGTCGCTGGACGCCATGGGCACGGACTCCGACGTGGCGGCCAAGATCGAGCGGTTCTGGGTCCAGCCAAAGATCCAAGAGTGCGTGCGCGCCGCCGTGGGGGTGGGGGGCGACAAGACGGCGGCGTCGGCGTGGCGGGCGACGCTGGCGTCGGCGGGGTTCGTGCCGGTGCAAGTGAGCAGCATGGCGGAGGCGCAGGCGGAGTCTCTCCTGAAGAAGCTGCCGGTGAGGGGATTCCGACTGGAGAGGCGCGCCGGCTCGCTCTTCCTCCATTGGCAACGCGGGGAGCTTGCCTCCGTCTCCGCATGGCGCTGTTAATTCATCCACTACTCTCTACTAATTACTCCTTATTAATAATTAATGCTCAAATTGTTACTCCTTATTATGCATGCATGTTACTACTACTTAATTTGCTCAATTGCCGTCTTAAGGCTACTTTGATAGAGTACTGTACAGTGACACTCTACTGTTAAATCAAATGGTTTTCTATCAGGTATTTTAATTTGCTTCGTCAAGTTCAGCATCCTAACCTTGATTGGAATGATTGTACAATAAGCATTACATACATAATGCCAAAACGAATAAGTTCATTGCATTACCTGAGAACCTGTGGATACATCCAAAAACTAATAGTGTCATGAAACAGCGGTTGGTTTTACTAACTGTATATGGGGACAAATATACACAAATTTGTGATTAGTCTAGCTTCCTGATTAAAAATATTAAATCCTTTTCTGATAGGTTGAGACGAATAAGAAGACATTCAGTATTCTAATATGCGATGCGTCAAACAGCCATCCGAAACTGTCAACTTCTGCTGACTAACACAAAAAAAAGTTTCGAAAAAAGTAACAAGTAATTTCAAAGTACACTCATACCACCTCCACAAATTAATTAAACTAGCAGGTTATTATATATAGATATTTGATGCATTGTGTACTATTTGTGCGTTCAATTTTACAGTTCTAACAGGCTAGTGAATTCTTCAGTCCCACCTCCCGTTTGTTTGATTGTCAGTTTACCACTCGCTAACTGATTACTAGGTAGTATTTTCTGAAAAATGAAAACGTGTTATTTTATCATCGTGCATACATACATAATCGAGTTTTTTGTTTTAAAAATGTACTATTTTCTCCCAAAATTATTTTTTTGCCACTAGAAGGGGCATGTGGTTTTAGCCAAACTTAGCTAATCTGATGACTCTGGACCAGGGAATATCAAGATACAGTGAGAACAAAATGCTGTCTTCACGATCGAACCCTTAAGACACCTGGAAAGCAGAATTACACGAGAAGTGCATGTTTTAAGAATATTTATAGCCTTTTTGATATTATATGTTAGGAGAACATTACCAAGTTGACAATTGCGGGATGCAGCAGGGATTGGGAATAAAGTTGCACTGGGTTTTTAGAGACAAGCATAAAGTAGCAGAAATTTTTTTGTTTGTGAGAGTGGGATTCTTATTTGCATTATGTGAATGTGACCACCAAAGTGTCTAAATAGTTATATAGCTTCGACAAGCTGTGCATCTGTATAATATGTATATATATTGGTGGTCTACTACTATTGTTTCATCAGATCAGTGAGCGAAGTATACTTATAGCAAATTCGTGTTTGTTTATAGTTTAGTAACTACAGTATCTTACCACTGTTAAGTGTTAACCCAGATACAACCATTTGTTTTTGGTTGCTTCCAAATTTCCAACTGATCCCCTGATAACCTAGTTATCTACAGTTTTTTTTTCTATTTTGGAAAGAAAAAAAGTCAACCTGTAGTTTTGAAGTATATATCTTATCCGACAGCTGGTTCAGATATTTTTCAGTTTTGAAATTATGAATGTATATGTACTGGAGTGTTATGGAGCAGAGGCGTGCCATCCTTACTCAAATATGATAGCATCTAACACAACATAATCGTGTGTTGCTCAGTTGATGAGGATGCTAATTAAGATAGCAAGCAGAACGTAAAGTGGGTGTGCTTTACCTCAATGACGGCAAGCATCTGTTGTCACCAGAATTTGTACTTGTAACTGGAGTACCAAATTCGTCCATGTTGGGGCTGTCCATCCAAGAAATCAAGATGCTATGCGAGGATCTGATGAAGGACTGAATAAACCGATAAGCCTTACCTGTTCCTCATCCATCCTAGCTAGTGTTCTCCGGCCTGCTACTTACAGATTTCCACATCACCACCTGAGATTGAGAACAAAAGGACAACATCAAAGAAATGCTGGCATGTTGGGCCAGCATCGTCAGGATGCTGCCGGCACAACCATGCAAACACAAGCTAGGCGAGTTCGAATAGAATCACTGACCTGTCTCTTCTAACTTCAAAAGTTAACCAAGCTTAAAGTTGGATCATATATATACTGCTCCCATCGGTAAGTTCAGTAATGATCTCTACAACTGAATCACCTAAGGTAATTCCTTCTCCTGACTGTAAAAAGGTATAGCATTAACCGATAAGTAAACTTTGCTGGATATATATGCTTAGATGTATGTGCGGGTTTTCTTTGGGAACGGAGTATTTCTCAGCCATCCATATTAATTTCAACCATTACACAGGACAGGATAACCTAAAAGTCACTTGCAAAGACAGGCGTCTACTTTATTCCCCATCCATCTACTACACTTTAGTTTAGTTACAGATTAGTACCCTGAAGGAATCACTAGATCATCACAAAGAAGTGCAATTTTTGTTTGCGACAAGTTCAGGCCTGAAAGTTGAGAACCCGGCAGGGGAATCGAATCAAAGGGCCTGTTTGGCACAGCTCCAGCTCCAGCTCCACTCCTCCTGGAGCTGGAGCTTAGCCAAACAGTTTCAGCTCCATCAAAACTAGGATTAGAGTTGGGTGGAGCTCTCTCACAAAATGAACTAGAGTTATGGAGTTGGGTTTAGGCAGCTCCACAACTCCACTCCAGACTCAACTCTGGAGCTAAATTTAGGAGTTGGAGCTGTACCAAACAGACCCAAAGAAAGCCCCAATAGATGATGAGAAAGGTCTCAGGATATCATACAAGTTCCAAAGCATGAGATGAAATACAGGGGCCAATAACTGAGTATACTAGTACTGACACAACTTGGAAAGAGCTAAAGCTAGGTGCCTTTTCATCGGCCCTAACACTAGACGAAACGAAAAGAAATGGATGTGTCATGGTGAAGTTTTCTCAGATTCGGTTACAAATTCAAGCTTGATACACTACACCAAAGTTGCCCAGACTTTTCTTCAGCTCGTGGAAGAAAATGAGACGAGGACAGAAAAAGATTGTGTGTAAATATATAGTATCTACTTTTATCCACCCTTGAGATACAAGCAAAGATAATTCAAACACAAAAATGTATTTTCAAAGGTACTAGTGTGAGAGGTTATGGTTTCAGCGCTCAAATCTGAAAGAACGGAATGGATAGAGAACTGAAAGAAGCAGGACAAAAAAAGAAACAATGTTTTAGTACTCCATACCTATAAATCCCAGCATGAGCCTAACATGGGTAATTCAGCAAGCACTTGAACAGCATAGATTGACAAGACACCCATGCCTAGTGCCTGAAGCTTAAATGTTAGTCATCCAATAATTGTACCGCATGCTTGAAGCTTATAGTTTTGAGAAAATTTCATCTATAGCACAAATAGCATTTTACGTTATTTTCCAGTCTTACGAAAAAGAACATGCAAGTTCAACTACGTACGTGTATTGTCTGTAGGAGAACTGTAGAAGAATATGTTACCTGGCGAATTATAACTGGTCTGCTTTGCTGAATGCTATCGCATAGGGAATCTTGCCTTCTTTTGCTCTTCAGCTGACAACCAAAAAAAGCAATGCACCTACCCTTCACAGCCAATGGCTGGCTCTATGATGGGTTGGTTATCTTTGGATGAAGATAAAAAATGAACCGAGTAAGTGATCAGTTACCACTCACTGAGCAGCATACAGTGGAATCAAAAGATTTTGTTCTCAAAAAGACTTGCTATCAAGAAGGGCAGATTTCTGAAATGCCCGTATATGTTTAATTTCGATGTTCCTCTTAAGACATCATGTCCTGAATAGACAATCAAGTTCATTCTGCTTTGTAAGTTGTAACTCCACAAGTCCAGATGCATCGTCCTGCCACTTCCCTACCCCCATTAGTTGATGGAAAGAAGACTAGAGTAATAAACAGCAGATACTATACAAGTCCATAAAGCAGGAATAAATCTCTGAAAATTGCTAATGCGTTTACACCAAACCACACGTCTTCCGTAAGGCATCTAGCAGATGAAAAGGGTGAGATGCTCTCTTACCTTCGGGATGAAGGCTCCTCCCATCAGGTTCTAAGTTCTAACAACAACACGTTTATAGAGAATCTATCTCAGACAAAGGAAAGCTTTATTAGATGGTGATAGTAGCGAAAGTAAGACGCATCATGTACCTGGAACGGTTTATTCAGAAGAGTCTACGGATGGGCGATGGATAATATGGTCGATCGTTGACGGTTGCTGCAGTACAACTCCGAAGCCAGCTTTGAGCATTATTGACATACACACACAAGCAAAAGTACCTGTGCGTTGCAACAGAAAGTGTATAAACCAGAAAATTGAGGAAAAGTTAAGAAAAATTTATATTATGTAATTAATTTAAATACAGATTTGCCGAAATATTTGGTAATTTAAGTACGTAGGTGTATAACTAAATCAATTTACAAATAAAGTAAGTGTGAGAAATAAAATAACATGGTTAAATTTAATTTTATTAAATTCTCCATGATTAGTTACGATCTTTGGAATTTTCAGAGCTTAATTGCTAATTTTAATAATACAAACATCATTTAACAATAATTTAATTGGAAAAAAGAATAAAAATCATCTCTTTTAGGTTTGGACCTAGGGATGGCAGTTGGGCACGGGTAGTAACTACCCATACCTGTGCCCGCGAGGTAATTCATGCCCGCGGGCATACCCGTTATTACATGACGGGCAAAAAAACACTATCCATGTTCGTTGCCCACGGGCATACCCGTTTACCCGTCACAAACTCACAGTTCAACATTTCAACCACAAATCTCCACAAGCAAAGAGACATTATCACAATTTAAAGAAAGGGTACAGTTGTACCAAGTTCAACAATACAAGCATTACAAGTTCATTAATACTAGATGGTGGCATTTATACTAATTTGACTGAGGGACCACTTGTCAGTTGGTTTTTGCGGGTAAACGGGCGAAGTGGGCATGGGTAGTGACCGTGCCCGTATGCCCATTGGGTATAGGTTTTGACCCAATAAAAAACCCATGGGTACTAAATAGAGAACAAAGCCAACTCTATTAGGGTTTTTACCCACGGGTAAACGGGCAAACGGGTTAAATTGCCATCCCTATTTGGGCCAAATATGGAAAAGTTTATATTCCCTCCCTTTTGCATATCCTATGTGTCTGGACTGTTTCCTTTCTCCGTTAAAGTCCATTTTAAAATACGGGATAAAAATAAAATAAAATCTAAAATTAGAAAAAAAAATAAAAGAAGAGTT